TGATAGGAAAGTGAATCTAGTTGGTACTTTGGGGGGTCAAAAGTATAAATCCACAAGCGCCGGGAAAAACAACATAAAAATTAAGGAAAAACGGGAATTTTTACGCAAAATTGGTTTTCCAAAAAATCGATTTTGGTTATTGGTGTAACTCTAAAACAAATGAACGTATATACATGAAATTTTCACTGATTGTTTATAATTGCATTTTCTATACACGATAACATTTTCAAAATATTTTGATTTATTTTGAACTGTTTAGGGACATTTTCATTTTCCATTTTTTTTTAGTTTTTTTCTAAAAATATCAATAAAATTTTATTTGTTGGTTGCGAAAGCTTGAAAATTTAATAGAAGGCTCCTAATATGTTGTTTCAAAGGCAGATGAAAAATATTAAAAATCCTTAGTCACAATTTTTTTATAGGCATTTAAAGTTCAAAAATTGACAAAATATGGAAAAATCACGAAAATTAGCAAATTATTTTGAGTTAAGAATTCGTAAAAATTTTTCTTTTTAAATCTAAGATTTAAAATGAAACACAAGATTCCTTATAAGATTATCTACCTTTATCAATAAAAAAATCTCTACCGGACAGTCAAGTTAAATTTTTATGAGCGTTTGAAATTCAAATTTTTACTACATTGGATATTCACTCGATTACTCATGTAGCGATTTCTTTATTTTGTTGCAATTAAAAAACGAACAACTGTAGATACATGAAAATTTCACTGAATGTTTAAATTAGCATTTTCTATACACCATACAATTTTGAAAATATTTTGACTCTTTTTGAGCTGTTTAGTGACATTTACAGCTTTCAATTTTTTTTTTTTTTTTCTATAAATATCAATAAAGTTTTATCTGTTGGGCCAAAAGTGTAAAAATTTAATACAAGGCTCCTGATATATTGTTACAATATCAGTTGAAAAATATTAAAAATACATAGGCATTATTTTTTTTTATAAGCATTTAAAGTTGGAATTTTGACAAAATTTATCAAAATCTCGAAAATTATCAATCGTTGGAATTAAAAAATTATAAAATGTTCAGTTTTTATAACTAAGAGTTGAAAATTTAAAACAAAGATTCTCTTAAATAATTCATACTGTAACCAAAAAATCTAAAAAATATATAAACACACTTATTTTTTACAGACATTTTAATTTCAAACTTAGACAAAATTTCATATTTAAACCAAGAATTACGATTTTAGTTATTTTGTTGTGATTGAATAATATTATTCGTGGGTACTTGAAACTTCTAAAGTGTACTATTATATATCTATGATAGTATCACGGTTTTTGTTGATGTATAACGCGTTATAAGTACCTAATGGCTTATGGATATTGTGATATGATTAATTTCGAATTTATTATAGGTACCTATTATAGGTCAATTTTTTGTTTAATACCATAGATATGTTTATAATATGTCTTATACATAAACTGACATACCGTCTCCGCTCAGAATCGTTTTTCTTATACAATGATATTATATCGTTGAATTCAAATTTAATATCATCCACTATACAGTGACCCACTTGTAACCTACTGTACAGCAAAGCGAAACCCACTTGCCCACCTTTTTTTTATTGGATAAGTTTGGTACATGTGTGTATGTTGTTGCAGAATTTCTAGTGGGGCAACCGTAGGTTTCTGCCAATTCCACCCGGGTGGGGGATGGCGGCACTTGTTCTCCGAACACCGTGACTTGCCCGAAGAAAAATGCCACCCAGTGGCCGAGATTCGACCGGCGACAGCTGCGCCGCAACCGACGCCTTAGACCGCTCGGTCACCTCGTCCCCCTAAAAAGCATTTAAAGTTCAAATATTGACAAAAAATGTAAAAATTACGACAATTTGCAAATTATTTAGTTAGAAATTCATAAAAAAATTTCTTTTTAAATCTAAGATTTTAAAACGTAATACAAGATTCCTCATAAGTTTGTCTACCTTTATCAAAAAAAAAAAAAAATGTCTACAAGAAACTCAAATGCAATTTTTATGAGTGTTTGAAATTCATATTTTTACATTTGTTATTCACTTGATTTCTCATGAAACGATTTTCTTATTTTGTTGTAATTAAAAAACGAATGACTGTAGATACTTGAAAATTTAACTGAATGTTTGTATTAGCATTTCCTATACACCAAACAATTTTGAAAATATTTTGACTCTTTTTAAGCTGTTTACGGACATTTTCAGTTTTAATTTTTTTTAGTTTTTCTTTTTTTAAATATCAATTAAACTTTATTTGTTGGGTAAAAAAGCATGAAAATTTAATGCAAAAGCTCCTGATATATTGTTACAATAGCAGTTGAAAAATATTAAAAATATTTAGGCACAATTTTTTTTTATAAGCATTTAAAGTTCAAATTTAGACAAATTTTAACACATTTAAAATTTAATAATTATATTATAGTTAAAAATGTATAACATGTTCAACTTTTATAGCTAAGGACTGAAAATTTAATACAAGATTATTATAAAGATTTTTTTAATATATAAATTACTTTATTCACCTTAATATCATCAAACATCATAGGCTGACTGACCGTTTTCGCTCAGAATCGTTTTTCTTATACAATGATATTATATCATTGAATTTAAATTTAACACCATCCATTACAGTGACCCACTTGTAACATACTATACAGCAGAGTGACTTTTTTATTTTTGTGTCTTATCACAGTTTGGGGCAGTAAAACTGCTTCGATTTTCTTCAACAGTATCTTTTTTGATAGGAAAGTGAGTCTAGTCTGTATATTCGGGATGTAAAAATATTAAAATTCCCAATAGTTTTCGGGAAAAACATCATAGAAATTAAGGAAAACGGGAAGTTTTACCCAAAATCGGTTTTTGACAAAATCAATTTTGGTTTTTGTAGTAACTCTAAAACTAATGCCTGTAGATGCAATTTTCATATTGAACATATTTTATATTAGCATTTTCTATACACCATATAATATTCAAAATATTAAGACTTATTTTGAGCTGTTTACGGACATTATCAATTTGCAGTTTTTTTAGTTTTTTTTTAACTATGATTGTCAATACAATTTTATTTGTTGGGTAAAATAGCGTTTTTATTTTGTTGTAATTTTTCTAATATTAATTCAATTTACCGGCTACAGTATTAATAATAAGTATGTAATAACAATATACATATAATATAAAATATCCACACTGACAAACCGTCACCGCTCAGAATCGTTTTTCGTATACAATGATATTATATCATTGAATTCATATTTAATACCATCCATTATACAGTGACCCACTTGAAACCTATGGTACAGCAGAGTGACATCCACTTACCCACCACTGTTTTTTTTACCTACTATCATGATGATATTTATATATTATATAGGTACTTTGTTATTATTTATTGTGCAAACGATCTTCATCGTATTATTATATTTTATTTGCTATCTTTCAAGCTTATTTTTAAGTTATTATGTAATATTGTCCGTAGTATAGTACTAATAGCTACCTATATAATATGTAAATAAAAAAGTCCTCCTGCAATTTCCATAAAATATGAAATGTAGGCAACAAATAAAGATAAAATTCCTGGAGTGGCTTTAATTTATATTTTAAGGTTTAACTTCGATATTTTATGCAAATAAATTAATTTACATTTAAAAAATAGGCAATAGATTCATAATGATAATTAGGTAATTGATTTATTTAAATTTGGTCATACCAAATCATACAAAATATCAAAGATGCTTTTTCTATTATTAATAAATTACTGTCCAAGATATTTTTCATGCTTTATAGGTAATACATTTAGGTATATAAAGTAAGAAATCGAATTTAGATATATACCTACCTATTCATTATTTTACTAAGTATTGTACTACTACTAAAAAATTGTTTAAAGAAAAACAATTATCCGAGGTCTACTTAGACATAGGTAAATCGATATTCACCTACAAAAATCAGTGTTTGTTTTAATATTCATTAGTACCTAGGTACTTATAAGGCTTCTCTTAAAAAATAGATTTTAAAATATTTCCATAGTTATATGCTAATGGCATGATGCAATACTCCGTGTAGAAAAATATTCACATTTCATTTTTAAATCAAACATTTCAAATACAGAAAATGTTTATGGTACCTATCCATATATTATAATATTGTCTATATAGGTAATGTGTATTAAAAATTGAAATAAATGTAAACAGGTTCAATATTGAAGAATTATAAGTATAACTGTATAAGAACCTTCAAAATTTAAAATTTAGCTCGTCTACTAAACAATATCAATAATCATATCCATAGTTTTTAATTTATAACAACATGGATACAAATATTAAGACTCGAACTCACGACTATATAGAATATTATGGTCTATCACTTTTATATTCTATTTTTAGTTTTTTTTATAAGCATCCCTAATTATTTAGAAATCAACATAAACATATTTATTATATTATGAAAAGGTATTAATTTTGAGACGTTCGTAACTTAATTTAATAATACCCATTGCACGGGATAAGAAATTTACATAACGTCCAAAGTCGTGCAGTAAAACCCTACAATAAACTTCAACCTTGGTATCAGCATTAAGAATAATCTGTTTAAAAACATACTACACCCCTAAGACAGATAGAAGATGGCATTGGTAGGGTTTCGATTCTAGGCTCTTATTTAAAAAAGGACAACTGAAGTGTAAGAAAGTTACAGTCCTTTCTTGGACGAGCCCTCGGAGAATATACGGCAGTCGGCAGTACTACTTCAATATCTTACTGTCAATTCAATGGTCATATTCTACTGGAGCATCAATGATAGAGTAGTGTTAGACATAAATGGCTTTAAACAGTTTAAAGTTTTGTTAAGTTTCTTGAATTCTTAGCACAAACGTCAAAAAGATTTGTTTAATATATTTTTTTTTAGAATACTAACATTTGCAAAGTAAGTGTGCATTAGGTAATTTAAAATTTATTGTAATTGATAAACAGTTCATAATTATTGGCTTTTTGGGTAGGTATTACAGAATGCTAAATAAAATCGGATCTCATTATGAACGGCAAGAGAACTGGGTGGCTGAAGGAGGTTTTGGAAATGAAACTGTGGTTGATCGAGTTCCAGCAGATATGATGCATCTGATCGATCCTTCTTGGTAAGTACATTAAAAATTAAAATATTATAATAAAAAAATATTCAGATTTTAAATTTAAATTTTCGTACCCATGTTCCTAAGGTATCAATTTCCTCCAATGGAATCAATGTGGTACAAATGGTTGGGTGTTACTATTTTCTTCTTGGGAATTTTATCAGTCGTGGGTAATGGAATGGTGATATATATATTTACCTGTACAAAAAATCTTAGAACGCCTTCCAACTTACTGATAGTTAACTTGGCGTTTTCTGATTTCTGTTTGATGTTCACCATGTGTCCTGCAATGGTTTGGAATTGTTTTTACGAGACATGGATGTTTGGTACTATATAAATTTAGTAATGTTATATTTTCAACTGATTAAGCAAATTATGTTAAAGGACCTTTTGCTTGCGAGTTGTATGCTATGTTTGGATCACTATTTGGGGTCACGTCAATATGGACAATGGTTTTTATAGCTTTAGATCGTTATAATGTAATAGTAAAGGTAAAAATAAAATAACATATAAATAATATCATATTATATAAATCATTTATTTATTGAATTCTCAAAGGATAAAATACAATTTGTATGTTTAAGGGATTATCTGCAAAACCTATGACAACCAAGTTAGCACTATTACAAATATTTTGTATATATCTGCATGGACTTTTCTGGACTTTAACCCCATTTTTTGGATGGAGCCGGTAAATAAAAAAAAATTTTATTTAAAGCATGATTTAAATTTATGTTTTGTAGATATGTACCAGAAGCAAATATGACAGCATGTGGTACTGATTATTTAACTCTGGCATGGCACAGTCGTAGTTATGTTTTAGTATATGCAATATTTGCATATTATTTACCATTGTTGGTCATCATCTATGCATACTATTTCATTGTGAAGGTAATATTAAAAAAACTGTAAAAGAAAAAACACATAATTAAAAATAATTTTTGAATTAGGCAGTAGCATCACACGAGAAATCTATGAGAGAACAAGCAAAAAAAATGAATGTGTCTTCTCTGAGATCTGGAGATCAGAGCAATACTAGTGCAGAATTTAAGCTGGCTAAAGTGGCTTTAATGACAATTTCCTTATGGTTCATGGCTTGGACACCATACATGGTTATCAACTTTGCTGGAATATTTCAATTAATGACAATTGATCCATTATTTACAATCTGGGGATCAGTTTTCGCTAAAGCCAATGCTGTGTACAATCCAATAGTATATGCGATTAGGTGGGTATTAAATAAACTACAATTGTATCCACAAATGATGTTTATTAATGTTATTTTTTTAGTCATCCGAAATATAGATTGGCATTAGATAAAAAGTTCCCATGTCTGGTATGTGGAAAATTAGAAGATGACAGGAGCGATTCAAAATCAGTTGCTTCTGCTCAAACAACTATATCCGAAGATAAAGTCTAAGAATCCAACTAACTTAATCTCATGGAATATGTTTAATCAAACTATCAGTCATTTATATTGTTTATAACAGTTATACCTTTATTTCAATTTTCTACGTATTTTCCTTATCCATTGGGATTGATTCTGTTTCAAAGCAGCCTCTAGCGTATCTTTGATATGAACCAAGTTTAATGGATTTGTTTGTAGGAATAATGATTCAGAAATACCTTTTTTTTCTAAATCTAATTTTAATGTAACAACTGGTACGGTTTGATGTAATAAAGATCTGGATCCCATCTGTATACATAATATATTATGATTAGTTGCATCTATATATTTATTTATACCTTTATTATTATGTTTTCAAAATATTTATTATGGATATATATATAAGTAAATAAATATATATATATATACATAATTATTTATATTTATATATAAATATACGACCTAAAGGTTAATAAATTTAGTTCTTTTTAAATATCAAATAATTTTTAAATTTTTGAATGTAAACGGATTCATTTGATTTATTTAGTATTTGTGAACTTTACTCGACATATAATTGATTAATATATAAAGGATAAAAGATACAATTTGAAGTAAGTATTTTAATCTACATATTACTTCTTCAGTATGATAGCTTACAAAATATATTTTTGTAGATAACATTATTAGTAGAAGAATAGTTATAGCTGTTGTCTATTAAGCCTTCTTTTAGCTAATATTTACATGCTATTTTAATACAGATAATGAATACCTAATATACAGAGAAAGTAAGCTTATGTCTATAATAATAAATTATAGAAATTATAGAAAACAAGTAGAAAGTTCATATTTTTTTCCTTTATTTTCTACCTAAAGTAAAAACAATTTTTAACGCAACATTTTTATACTGGGTGATTCTTTTATCAAACAACACTCAATATTTCAAAAAGTGTAAATATTTTTGAAAATATTTTTTTACATACTTTCAAGTAGCTTATAAAACAACGTTTTTATAAAATAATTATATTTTTAAATATTTTTTATCCTTAATATAATTAATTATAAAAAATTATAAGGATAAAAATATTTAAAAATATAATTTTTTTATAAAAACGTTGTTTTATAAGCAACTTGAAAGTATGTAAATAAATAGTTTCAAAAATTTTACACTTTTTGAAATATTGAGTGTTGTTTGATAAAAGAATCATCTGGTATAATTAGGGACAAACATTTTTAGGAAAATGCATTCTTTTTAGCTTATTGTACAATATTAAGTATAGATAAAGTACCAACAAATTCAATTATGAAACTTTTATTATACATTTATTGACGTTTTTGATTTTTACTTATTTTTTGTTTTTTTTTTTTTGATATATTTTAATAATTTTTGTCAGTTAAATTTTTTTACACTCTTTTTATGAATATTTTTAATTTTTTTGTTATATTATTAAATTAATTAATAATATTGTTTTTTCTTTCCAATAAAATATAATAGGTTTTATTTTTTAAATTTTGATTCTATAGTGCATATTTTGAAATTTGAATGCATTTTTGGTATATTTCTCAAAGTATTTTAATCTATTAAATTCAGTGCCCTATTTATAAAAGCACATCAATATAATATATAATTACACATCTTACACATAGAATGGATGCTGTATAAAACTACTCGATTAGTGGATATCTAAATACCTAATATTTTGTTACCCTTATGCTAAAATTTAATTCAATTTATTAACACTTAATTAATTATATTTTGAGGTTTTCAAGTCTTATATCAAATATTTATACTTTAATACAATGCAAAGAATAACCATTATATTTTATAGTTCTAAGGATTTATTTTTAATAAGTAGGTTTCTTACAAAAAAACTGTTTAAAGTGAGAATGATAATGGCAACAAATCATACACTAAGGTAAGAGTTCATTTTTTTTCATTAAGAAAATTAAAATATATTATTAAATTGATCATATTTCTATGTACTTAACTTACATCAGTTTCAAATCGCCACTCTAGTTCTTTGAAGTGTGGGAATACCAACGCACTAGATGATAAAATATCTAGTAACTGGGGTTTTTGGTTTTCAAAAAATAATATAATCATGTCCAATTTTGTTTCATTAAAACCATATTCTGTCAGTGATTCTTTTATTTCCAAATCAGTTAGCTAAACAAAAAATAATAATGATTATACAACAGTACAACATTCAAACTAAATTATTCAGTTAACTTACTTTATGCTTACAGCTTTGCACACACATGAGACATATGCTTTTTACAATTGATATAATTTTATCCTCATCAATCTGCAATTTTTCTTTAATAAAATATACTTTTATTATTTTTTTATATTAATTGTATTCAGTATATATACAAAATGTAAATTCTGACTATTAATATTAATAAAATATTTAAATATGTTAATTTCATCAATAGTTAAACAATACATAATGTAACATTTGTACAGGGCCGGATTGGCCCGGCGAGTTACCGAGTAAAAATTTTGGGTTAACAATTTTGGGCCAATCAAGTCATGAGGAGCCGTGCTGACTGAAAATATATGAAGAATTAAAAGTTGAAGAAATGGAGATTATAAAATAAAAAAAAAAACTATGCACAGAATAAGAACGTACCCAAGGGCCACCAGTTTGTAAGTGGGCTGGTAAAGTACGGAAAACTTAGTGAGCCGAATTTGTCCAATTCGGCCCTGCATTTGTAATATAATATTATGACTTTGTAGTTTGTTATAATATATTTTTTTCCAAATTGAATGTAAAACTCTAAACAGTTGCTTACTTAAACTAATGGCCCCTGTCACCAAAGCTAAAGATCAATTAAAAAAATTAAAAAAAAATTAAGGAGTTGCTTAGATTTATTTTACCTTGTCTTCATATCCTTATTAACCTCATTATTAACACTTAACAAGTAAACCATAAACTATAGTAGGCCATCTTACTTAAGTCCATGAAACACGGAAATGCCTTTAAATATTTGGTGAATCAAACTCATTTATTTCATCTACTTACTGTACACAATGATCCATTAATTTTAAATAAAGCCTTTAAAATTATAAGTGATGAATTATTTATACTGGTGAAAGGTGATATGGTAGTAAGCATATTAAATATTTAAATGTACCTATAACCCAGGGACATCAATAGGTAGAAGTGGCAAGATGTACTTTGCACCTCTATATTTTTTTATCATCTAATTGGCATGTCAGAAATTTCCACATGCGCGACACAGGATTTTAGACAGGTTCTTTGCCAAACATACCAATTGATCTAATGAAGTGAAAAGAATTCTGAAAATGGATTTGAATTTGTAGTCAAGACTCAAGACTACTTGAAATCGACTTTCCCACATTTTTGATATTATCCTCCAAATTTCTAAAAATTTCATATTAAAAAAAGGTGGGTAAGTGGAGGTAAGTGGATTCGGTTTTGAATTACAACAAAATAAGGAAATCGCTACATGAGAAATCGAGTGAATATCCAATGTTGTAAAAATTTGAATTTCAAACGCTCATAAAAATTTAATTTGACTATCCGGTAGAGATTTTTTTATTGATAAAGGTAGACAAACTTATGAGTAATCTTGTATTACATTTTCAAATCTTAGATTTAAAAAGAAAAATTTTTACGAATTCTTAACTCAAAATAATTTGCTAATTTTCGTGATTTTTCCATATTTTGTCAATTTTTGAACTTTAAATGCTTATAAAAAAAAACTGTGACTAACGATTTTTAATATTTTTCATCTGCCTTTGAAACAATATACTAGGAGCCTTCTATTAAATTTTCAAGTTTTTTTAACCAACAAATAAAATTTTATTGTTATTTCTAGAAATTAAACTAAAAAAAAATGAAAAATGAAAATGTCCCTAAACTGTTCAAAATAAATCAAAATATTTTGAAAATGTTATCGTGTATAGAAAATGCAAATATAAACAACCAGTGAAAATTTCATGTATCTACGGTCATTTGTTTTAAAGATACACCAAAAACCAAAATCGATTTTGCGTAAAAATTCCCGTTTTTCCTTAATTTTTCTTTTGTTTTTCTTGGCGCTTTTGAAAAGTACTGGGAATTTTAAATTTCGACCTCCCAATGCACCAACGATATTCACTTTCCAATCGAATAAGATACTGAAGTCGAAAATCGAAGCATTATTTCGACTACTTATCGTGTACACAGACACAAAAAAAAAAAAATACACACATCATTGTAAAATCAATACATTCATCATTTCACTCAGAATCTAAAAGAGTATTTACAAATTGTCGTATTTCAATTTTTGGAGACTTTAAAATCAAAAAATAAAATATGTGGGGATATCGATTTCAAGTCGACTTGACGACAAATTCAAATTTTTTTTCATAATTCTTATCGCTTCATTAAATCAATATTGGTAGGTAAGTATGGCAAAGAACACATCTAAAATCTTAGGTCACACTCGTGGTAGACAAAAACAGAAAATCACGGTATCGAATCCCTTAAAGTTAAAATATACCATTTATCAAAAGCAAAACCATTAAGTGTATAATATTATAATATAATATAATATAATATATATTTTTTTATTTAAAGACATTAAACAGATATTATTAATAATTAATACAATAAATAATACCTGCAGCTTTGTTATAAAGACTGGAATTAGGTCCGTTGTCCATAAAATCTTTGGTGAGCCTCAAGAAATCTTTGATAACTGAACATATTGAATTTAATTATAGTCATTAAAATAATAATGAAGATTATGAACACACGCAAAATATATATATAATTCATAAATAGTTACCTAAATTAAAAGGTTTAGGTAATGAAATAAAAAATATATACTGGGTAATTCACCCACCAGCTAACCCCCATTGTTTCCTTTAATAATGAATTATTTAAAATTATGATTTTTGGAATGTTCAAATATACTCAAAGACCATTAATTCAAATTCTTGAATACTTTATGTAATATTTAAGAAGTGTTCTGTGGAGTTACAAATTTAACTCTTTTTATTACTATTTATTATTTTTGAAAATGTTGTGTACCTAATTTTTTTTTTTTTTTTTTTATCGTTTATTTAAATATACACAATCTGTAAATGTTGTTTTACAATAAGTGCATGTGATGGAGGTGATATGGCTGAGTGGCTAGAGATAAGAAGCCGCCCATTGGAGGCACTTAAGGTGTACCTAATTTAAAATTCAAATGAGTAGTTCCTCTGTTATTAAAATGTTTGTACTAAGAATAATAGTCTTTAAAATTGGTTTTACAAAATTATCAAATAGATGTAAAACTGGGTCTAGTAATAATTATACTCTAGCCATTTTTACAAAATATTCATGTTAATAATTTAATATTTATCACTAAAATGATCAAATCACCAAATCCCCCATATCTTAAAAACCTATTATCATGGACCATATGCATGGTACACAATATTAAAACTCAAAAACTACTCTTCCAAATTTTGATTCTGAAACATCAACATTTTCAGAAAAATTGTCCACTAAATAATTTATAGTAGAAAAGGGGTTCTCATTTAAAAAAACAGAAGTTTGTATCTCTTTAGGACATTCCTTAAGTAGAACAAAACAATTTGAATTATTCGAAAATATGTGGTCTTTAAGTAGGTATATTTAAAAATTCCAAAAATCAGATTTTGAATAACTGCATTATTGAAGAAAAAAAAGGGGGTTTGCATGCTTGAGAAATCGCCCTGTATATTGTCATTGTCGGATTTTGAAATTCTGAAGTGATTAAATAATTTGATAATAATTCTCTTCTAGCCATTATTAATCAGACGTTAGTCGCGGTATAGTGAAAATGACCGCACTTGTTTTACATCTTGAATGAAACATATAAATTTTACATTTCAATCATTGATACTCAATATACCTTTTACAAATATTATTAAAAATACTATAATAAAATATTCTTAATAAGTTAAATAACTTGGATTCCAAAGGATTTTTTTGAAAACTGCAATTGTCTGCCGCCATAAAACTCCATATTATAATTCACACAATTTTATTTTTTTTTAATATTATTCATTTGACGTATAAGGAAGTAACTTTTTATAACTATATTATATAAATTGTAAAAATTTTTTGAAATAATTATTTGTTTTGATAAAATTAATAAAAATGTAAGAAACGTTTTTATTATTGAAAAATATAGAGTTGTCGAAAAGATCGCAATACGACTAATGACTTAATATACACTGGCGCAACTAACGTCGGGTTAATACTTACAAAAACAGAATAGGAAAAAATAGGTATGGTGAATATATAAGAGATTCTAATTTTCTTACCGTTATCTGTTTGTTGAGCCAAAAGTTGAAAACTAATTTTGAAAACTTCCTTTACTGACGACATAATACACAACAATCAGAATCAAATTTTTATTTAGTAAAACAATTTAAGGTTCGCAGAAAAACAAAATTAAACCCTTCTTTAACTTAAGAGGCATATGCATACTTTAATTTGTACTAAAATATGCTTATAATAATATAGCCATTTAATTCATATTACTAAACCTGTATTATCATATTATAAAAATATTGAAATGAACATTTTTAAAAATTAAAATAACAAATACTTAACTACTAATTAGGTACATAATATAATATTATAATAAATTTTTTATTATATTATTATTTATTAATATTGTCTATACTCTATTTGTGTCTACCTAATGAATACTATCCACAGATATATACAATAACTATTGTATATATCTGTGATACTATCATACCCATTACTATCTATCCCATAATCTAATACTATAAAATGAAGAACAGCTGACTGATAATATTGGGGGCCAATGGAAAGGAAAACGCCGGCTATAGCGAACCCATGGCGTAAAAAATGAAGCACTGCTCCGTTTCCCCAGCCCGCCGGCCATATCCCGTCGATTCCTTATAGCGCGACCAATCGCGTACCTTCGCAGTGGCGGCGGTCGGTTTTAAAACGTTTTTCGTTATCTCCTGTTTTCCCATCATTTCGCCGATTTTCGGAAAATTAGCTGTTTTTACACGATATCTTTTCGCCCTTTTATATACTTAATTCGAAGTAACCGGTGTGCGGTTTATATTCGTGTTCAATGTCGATCAATAAATACACTCCCGACCGGACTTTTTTGCCGATTTTTTCCTTTTCTCCCACCGTTTCGTCTATTCGCACCCGTTTGTGTCCGAATCGAGTCTTTTTGAAGCCGTTTATATGCGCCTTTCCCCCAAAATCGGTTCGTTCGCCTCGCAATCGCGTTTGGAAATTACGCCGGCGACCGACCAGCCGTACGCGTATATATACATGTATATACGTGTATAATTTAATTTTTCCTTATGATGTAATAATTATTAACGGAAAACGCTTTTCACACGCCCCGTTAAATATATATATGGGAGATGCGCGTATTACAAGCGAATTATATGCGATTACATCGATGTACATCGAATATATCGGTTTACGTCGCTCCGTAGTCGCACGGCTTAATTGTTGATGTTTTCAATGTCTTTCATATCTCAAACCGTGTCCGAGTAGGTTAGGCGTTAGGCAGGAAACACGTAGGTCCCGGGTTCAAATCCGTCGTACGCCGTCCAGGCATTGAAACCGGTAATGCCATATGGTTTACACGGCCGCCCAAATCCCGACTTTTTTTGCATTTTTTTTTCACGTTATTTTTCATATAAATTAAATAATAATATAATAATACAGGAACATATCGTACATTATTATTATTTAAAGTCATTATCATTTTATATCACACAATAAATAGGTACATATTATATTTGTTTTATTAGGAATTATTAAAATTGCATATTTTTTAAAATTTCCATGATTGTTATATAAATATAGTTTGTATTTTATTTCGGTTTGCCTACCTAGGTGGCTAACTTGAAAGTTAATCTTGATTTTGGCTTGAGAGTTGAGATGACTGACTTGCTAGACACTCCAACACGGTTTTGGACTTTACACTTTTTACATAAGAAAAGGCACCGGACATGCGAAGGCACATACCACTCTATGTGATATACCTACTATATATAGGTGATAGACGGGTTGCTCATTTTAGTTTCGTCTTAAACGGTGATGATTGACTTGATAGACACTTTAACAAATAACATGCAGGTTTTTGCAATTTTTTTTTAAATTAATATATATACACTATAGGTACATGTTTATATGTATTGGTTAATATAATAGTATGTATCTAACTATCTACCTATATGTTAATATTTTTTAGGAATTATAATTGCACATTTCTCAAAATGTTCATTGTTATATTATATCACACAATAAATACATATCATATTTGTTTGTATGTATATAGTTTGAATTTTTCGTAAATTATTTCGTAAGTTGTGTGATAGGGTTTTCACTTATAGCCTCTTGATGTCGTGTCTGCAATCCACCGCAGGTGGATTGCCTACCTGATTTGCTGTAGCACATAGTCCGCGATCCGACGAAGTCGGATTGCCTACCTAAGTGGCTAACTTGAAAGTTAATAGATTTTGACTTGAGATGATTGACTTGCTAGAAACTCCAACACGGTTTTCGACTTTACACTTTTTACATAAGATAAAACACCGGTCATGCTACGGCACATACCACTCTATGTGCAGGTATACTCTATATAGGTGATCCTGGAGATCGTATCCAGCCTATCCATTTACAACGTTTGTGACGGATTGCTAGACACTCAAACTTTTAACATTCCCGCCAAAGCGTCTAGCCTTATCTCCAATCCATATCACTAATCCTTATCACAAATAATAAACTTTCGTCTTACAAGTTACAACCTTTGCGACATTTATAATTCATTGTCTCCAAAATCGGTACCCACTCTCAGCGATTCCAACGGGCCCCGAGTTATACTTAGAGCTAGTAATTAATAATCTATGGTTTGGGCCCCGTGGTTATCAGTATGTTATGCTTATGACTATCGAAAACTATCGATTCTGGTATTTCAACTATCGATAGTAAACGATAGTTGTGAATATCGATAGTTATTGATAGCACATTAGCACCATCGATTAAACTTCTCTACATCGTGCACATGGCAACGACGTCATGGCATCATTTCTTTTATTATCATTTATCAGTGTGTAAAATATAATATTGTTGATAGGACGATTTGATATTTTGATTTTCAATTTTTTAAAGTTTAAAATATGAAAACTCGATAATTAAACTATAAAGTGTAAATTAACAAAGTAATAACTAATATAATATTTTTTAATTTCATGTTCTTAGAAAAAGTGAAGAAGAAATACTTTATACCATTAGTCCATTAGTAATCATAGTAACTGAGAAGTATCGGTTATCAAACTCACAAGTCAAAGGTACCACAAGGCCCAAGTTTGTCACAAATATATAAGTTCAAATTACTACAGAATACAGGCTACAGCATCCATTGCTTACAATCAAAATAAAATATTTGTTTAATTGTAATTTTTAAATGTGTAGCCTGTAACTACCTACCATTTATACAAAATATAAACTGTGATATTTTATTTTTGGATTAGGTAGATTTTATTTCTTTGATTTTATGAAAACTAGAAAAAATGAATAAGCAATGTGCTCCATCCCAATACAGGTAGTTATACTTAATAATGTGAATTTTAATTTTATTCAAACAGTTTCATAGCTACTAATATTGCTATGAAACATGTGCTCTTTTCCATAACTGAAGAAGAAAGAGATCTATATTTTTACAATCATATATAGGTACCGATCTAGTTTAATATTTTTTACTTTTTTTTTAGTTCTGAAAATGAACTTGTCAATACTAAAAAAAGACCTCTACAAGTACAACCTCACGAATGTTACAAACCAAGTAAGATAAAAATTAGTTTAATTCATACTTCTAAAATGTTATTTTGCGTTGTAAATAGTTAAATTGTATGTTTTGATGTGTTTCAGAAAAATTTAAATCAAAAGAAATTAATTATAAGCCAGATGTTGATATTGTTACACTATTCAAATTTGAGTTACAACAAATTTTAATTAATTCTAATGACTTAAATACAACCATAACAGATATCCTACCTTATGGATCAAGAATTTCAGGTCTTAACATTTCTAATAGTGATGTAGACTTTAATATAAACTATGGTCAGTATTAAAATTTGGAATCCCGGAATAAAAATCCCCCGGAAAAAAAATCCCCCGACGAACAACGCCGGAAAAAAAATCCCCGACCCTAGGAAAAAAATCCCCAGACTACAATATTACTCACAACCTCATGCAAATGGTTGAACAAATATTTTTTAAATGTTAATTAGTATCTATAATTAATATTTAATTTTAATTTATTTATAATTTATTCTATTTTATTATATTGTTAAGAAAATTATATATTATAAATAATATTTTGTTTTAAATTACGATAATATATTATGTGTAATTCAAATTAAATAACTAACTTTACCTTATATTATATATCGATGGCATAGTGCACACATGTTGTAAGTGCAAAATTCAGATAAATGAGTTTTTTGCATGACTGTATTGCTGACAACTTTCTACATATTGTGTACAAATGTTGTAAGTGTATAGTACATATTTAGTCTGCTAGAGGTCTGCGCGTTGGTTGTAGTGCATGTAATCTGCGTGATGTGAAATTACAATTGTCGTTCTCCTGAACAATTACAAAAATGTCACTTACAACATGTGTGCACTATGCCATCGATATTATCAAAGGTACGTATACTAAACCGCTTATCGTCAAAATGTCACAGAAAACGCAATATTTTATTTCGGAAATTCAATTTTTACAGAATTATACCCACATAAAATATATAGGTACCTATATTTTGTATACTATGTTTTTAACTGTATAATTAATTGACGTATCGATCATTATAAATATTTTTATAATTTTTTAACAACTTAATATAATATATTATATTATAATAGAATATCATATACGTATTTTTCATTAAATATTAATTATAGATACTAATTAACGTTCAAAATATATTTGTTCAACCATTTGCATGTGATTGTCAGTAATATTGTAGCTGGGGATTTTTTTCCGGGGATTTTTTCCGATTACCAAAATTTGTTATTAATATAATATTACAAAGTAATACCTAATATATATTATAAAGCATCAAATTCAAATAACTTAAAATATTTTATTTTTATCTTTTAACAGTTAAAATATAAAATTAAGCTATAATGATGGATGATTGTGATATTCATATACATAAATAATATTGTTTATTAGATTTCACCCTATTTTATAATCTATATTATAGAAAATATTATTATAGAGGGTTTTATTATCTATTTTAAAATTGTATATTTTCTTTATTTTAATATATTTTCGTTGTTTTTAAATATTTTTTCAGTATCAAAAATACCAGCCAAAAAAGTGATCAAGTCATTTGCTAATAAACTTCGTCAAAGTCAAGTATTTATTAAAGTATTTGCTTTAATCCATGCTAAAATACCTATCATAAAATCCACTCATAAAAATACTGGTATTGATTGTGATATATCATTTAATAATGTCAGTTCAGTTCACAACTCTCATCTTCTCAATCACATTTTAAGTATGGACTACCGTACTAAACCAGTTTTAATGAAGTTAAAGATATGGGCTAAAAATATTGGGCTTATTAATACTAACGGATTTTCTAGTTACTCGTTCTATTGGCTAGGAATATTTATTATGCAAGTTATGGGAATATTGCCAGCCATTCGTGATTTACAAAAATCTGTTCCTGAAGTTCTAGTTGGTCAATGGAATTGTGCATTTTCCAAAAATCCACAAGAATATATTATTGACAAACAAGAAACTTTAACTGAGAGTGACATATTAAATTTTTTCTATAAATATTATTCAAATTTTGATTTTGATAAATTTGTGATAAGTCCATATACTGGTTTTCCATTACTCAAAAAGGATTTTGAAAATGTAGAACAGCTTCCAGGTGAACTATGGAGGTATAAACAATTTTATAAAGAAAATGAGGAATGCCAGAAGTTATTATTTTTGGGTACTTGTCAATTTAAAATGTACACTCAAGATCCATTTCAACATAATGTAAATATTACAGCAAGAGTGACTCCAAAAATATTTGAGAAATTTATTAATGCTTGCATAGAACTAAAACCTTCACAAAAAATAAAAAAATAATCTAAAAAATTAAAATTACATTTAACTTAACAATGATAAAATAACCATACTACATGTATATTGTTTTGTTATAAGTATTTGATATTACTTAAAATAATTTACCCTGTGTTTAACAAATATTTTGTATTACATTAATATATTTCATAATATAATTTTTTGATGTATAAAGTATAACCTATAAGGCCATAATTGTAATAAATAAATAATATTAGTATATCACATATTTTAATTTTTCTAGCAGATGTATGTATTTTTGTATTATAAATATTAAATACATTAAAATCCGAGTCCTAATTATCACTATTACTATATTAAATTATTACTTTAATTTAACTAACATGAATAACAACCTTAGATCATATACTTGCACATGTACTCAGTGCCGTAAAAACCGGGTGTGCAAAGTGCGCACACAGGCCTCATAATATATCGAAGGGCCTCAAAAGATCTAGACTAATATTAAACTAATATAAAATTATTAAATATTTATAAATTATTTATTATTGATTTGGAAACGAAACCAATGTTATTTCATTTTTTTTTTATATATCATGGAGTCGTGATCGCTGTTTTTAGATTTTGAGCGGAACAAATGTATTGATTTTACAAGATGTGTAAAATTTTTTTCATTTCTATCGGTCATCAACATTGGGTAGTATAAATATTCCGAATTTCGAGATCAGCATTTTTTCTGTTAGAAAAGTGAATCTAGTTGGTACTTTGTGGAGATCGAAACCGAAATTTTTAGTTTTATATTGTAAAAAGCGTCAATAAAATAAAAAAATTGTCATTTTTGCCTATAACCAAAAATTTTATTTTTTGGTATAACTCGAAAACTAATAATCGTAGATCATTGAAGTTTTCACCAAATATTTATATTAATATTTTCAATAAATTACATTTTGGAAAATTTTTAATTTTTTGAGTTATAGCCTTGAGAAATTGTTTTAAAATTATAGATTATTTTAAATTGAAATTTTTTTTTTGTGTAAGCCCGAATTTTTGTCTGCTGACTAAAAATTGCAAAAAAAGTTTTTGAGGTGTGCATTGAAAAAGATAATAAGGGGCCTCAATATTTTGGTTTTGCACACAGACCTCAAGTAGCCTAGTTACGGCACTGCATGTACTTGTACTATTTTTATTTAAAATTCTATTTTGAAGACCTAAAACTTGAACTTTTTAATAATTTAATTGTTTTAATTGATAAAAACAACTTCAAATATTTATGTCACTAGAATTATTTGTAGTCAGTACAATAAACATTAATTTCAACGGACTTTTCCATTCAAAGAATGTTTTATTCTGTAATGAAAACAATGTACAACAGTTGTAAATGTAATACAAATGTGTGTGCATATGATGGATAACTGAAATGTAAAGTTTGGTATGTATAACTTAAGGTTCTGTTCAAAAGAATTTGTTATTTATTAAGCATTTGGTGTTTACCATTGTTTATTTATTTATACATTTATTCTGCAGCCTATTTTAATTATCATCATGTAATAATCTACCAATTATGTATTGTGTGGTTCACCTGTATAACATAAAGGTAAATAATTAACATTCCATTATTAAGTAAATATGAATCGATTGTAAAACAATTGAAAAAAGAGATAAGTATAGCTAAATAAAGAATAAAAAAAAAATGTATGAATTAAGTTATTTTTCTTACATAATTTTGAGAGCCAGTATTGTAGGCATTAATTATTATTAAAATATTATTTGAAAATATAATTTGTAACATGTGATGTACCATACTGCCATTAGATGTTAGATTCACCTCTGATAAATTAGCTCAGAATCTCACAAATACTTCAAATAATAAAAATATAAATAAACCAATACCTAACTTACATAATTCCATTGATGTATATGCCTGGACTCACAATCAATTTGAATTAAGCAATGCTTATGCTAAATTTTTAATCAATATAATATAAAGGGGCATCGACATCCAAATTGAGCTGTTTTATTCTGATTTATTAAATGATTAACATAGTTTGATAATGTAACAAATATATAAATAAAATAGTTATGTTATGTAGTTTTGTTGTCTTAAGTTTGTAGGTATAATTATTAATTAATAATATTTAATGACATTTTCATACATATTAACAATAGTTAGATATAATTTTTTATAGTAGGTAATAGACAATTTAATAGGTAATATTTTCTGTTCATCAAAAATGCATTTAATACAGATCTTCTACACTATACTATTATTTGTTTAAAAATACAAATTCAAAATTCTTACATTAATATATCACTATTTTTCAAACATTCCTGGTCGATTATTTTAATATGTTCCAACAACTTTTTTTCTGTATATTTTTTCAAAAAATACTCTACTGCATAGCCAACTCCATGAGGCTGTGTTCCAAAAAAATCTGTTATGCCATCAATTTCATACTTAGTCCTGAATACAAAATAATCAATACACAATACATGTCATTTTACATGAATAAGTATAAAATAAATAAATATAACTGTATTACTGTAATTGAGATTTGAGAAGCTAATAAGTATATTATTATTTCAAAAACGTTGTTAATGTTTAACTATCATCAAAAAAATTGAAAAGAAATGTACTTATAGTCTGGGATGAAAAACACTTAATCGGGACTGCGCAGTGATAATAATATCGTTGCACACATTCCTAGTTTCTATTTCAGTATTTCCTATGGATAATAATTATACCTAATATGATATTTGGCCAAAAAATAACATCTAGTGCAAAAGTTTTAATTTCAGTGACCTCTTCTCCGGCGCCACTGTAGATCATATTTAATAAAATATAATTTATATTTTATAGGGCTTGTATCATTATTAACAGTTGGGTCACCACGGTCCACGACACTACATAATTATATTTACCATGTTGGGTTTGGTGTAATTGATAATGTTATTATATTAGATAACGTGGCTATTTCTGACCAACTCAAATTTCTCGTTCTTGCCCAAAATTTTTGACCTTTTTCGTCATACCAACATTCTTCTTCAATAAGTATTTCTGGAACATGTAGTATTTGATCTCGCCTTAATACTTGAGGTATAATATTATGACATACTAGCCTATGTTTAGTATATTCAAATCCATGTTCATCTGAAAAAATAGTTAACTTCAACTTTGTATACGGACATGCGGTTATAAAAGGAAATGATATTGAATATAATTATTAATAATTTAATAGGTAGGTTGGTAGGTTATGAATAAATAATATTAGTCTTGTAATTAATAAAATCATAAATGTTATTATATTAGGGTAGAGAAGTTATAAGAATTGACAAAATACCTATGTAATAAAATATTACTCAGTTGGGTTCCCAAAATGCAGCGATTTCAAAAAATATATGTAGGACGTAGGTAATAGGTACTATATTATACTATAACCTACTCTGTTAAACCATTGAATTTTATTTAATTAGTTCGTGTTCGACGATAAAGTCAGTGGTGGATTTATGTTGATTTATATTACCCACCCTCCCCCTGCCGACACCTATATAAATATTTATATTATATGGCATACACTTGTAAATAGGGTTGTTAATTATATACAAATTTAACAAATATACTAAATTGATTAACAAATTAAATATAACAACATACGCAGATTTAAAAAACCAAATCAAGGATCCCATACAATTTAAATGGAAAATGCACTGGCATAAACAGAAGACCAAGCTAAGAAGAATAAAGAACACAATTTTCGACTGGCCAAACTTCCCTCCGAGTAGAAGGGATAAGGTAGTTATAAACAGACTCCGCATTGGCCACACCCGACTAACACATGGATACCTCATGGACAGAGGAGAAAAACCACAGTGCATTTCCTATGGAACCGAACTCTCAGTCAAACACATAATCACCGAATTCCTTCAATACGCAGATGAACACAGAAACTTCCGCATACCCGACACACTAGATGAAGCCCTCGGACCAGACGCAGAGACCCCCATACAAGTCCTTAAATTCTTAACCAAAACTAATCTATATAATACAATTTAAGTCTAACTGTTAAAAAAAAAAAATGCAATTGTAAACAATATTGTAACTAATAGTATTGTATATAAGTATTATTAATAATGTAATATGCTAAAAACAAACGTTACTTAGACTATTTTGGATTACAGAGAATAGACAAAGCACTAAGTATTGAGTTTGAGTGTGTACTGTGTAATACATTTTTTTATAATATTATTACGCGAACGATTTGAAAACTTAAACAAAATATTACCGAACTCAACAGTCAACGATGGAAAATGCCACAACAATAAGTTATCCTTTACCAAATTAAATTCTAGTGTAGCCGGTGTAGGTTCTAATCTAACGAAAAATTATAGTATCAGTAATCCCCGCATATAAAACATATTTTGCTTTTCAAGTTAATACAAATATCTATAGTAGAGTATTTCAAAAAAGATATGATATTATTTAGTTATTATATAATATATATACGAAAAATGAAAATGTAAGGTTTTATATATCACCTAATATGGTATCCGGACATTTCCCCCCTTTTTTTTTTGGTTTTTTATTTTTAATTATTTACCTTCGAATATAAAATTATTATTTTTAACACGTCATACTTTTTTTGCATGTACTAGTTGCCCCCAAAACAGTGCCATATTCATGCAAAGACAAATGGGCCCACCGACTACAGGCAAACAAAATATTAATTTTATATTTTACCGTTTTATCCAGTGGCGCCCAACCCTATTTTTAAGTGTAGCGATCGCTACACCTTGAAAATAAGGGGCGGATGGGTATAATAACAAAAATAATAAACTTGAAATATGTTCATAATTAATCACAGATTATATTGGTTGATACCTTAATATTTACTAATATTATCAATACAAATATGATAAAATGTATTAAATAATATAATTTTGAGTTTTGAAAGGGTGGGTGGGTGGTTAAAATTTTTTCTTGCTACACCTGAAAAATATATCTTCGGCGCCACTGGTTTTATCATACTTTGGAAAAACAAAATAGATTTGGATTTTACTTGGATATTTTGGTGGGTTATAAAGTATAATGAATTTTCCCTGTAAACGACGACTTTGCCGATAACAAAATCTATATAATTGCCGTTACAATCGTAATATCGTCGTAATATTACTATTGACGTTATTGACTATTGCGTTGTTACGTGATATACGTCAGTCGTATTGACGAGGGTCAATGTAATAGATTGTGTTAAATTTGAATTCAATGATATAAAATCATTGAATAAGAAGAACGATTATGAGCGAAGACGGTCGGTCAGCCAATAATATTATTTATTATGTTATATAAGCTAAATAAATTGCCATTCATGCTTCGACTAGATTAAAACTTTCAGATCTAATTTGGAAAAATTTGTATTTTTGAAGGGTAAATGGTAACCAGGTAACCGTCAATTTATTTTGACTAACAAATAATATTATTCACCTAAAAAAATCTCAGTGACTAAGTCATTTGTGTTTAGCTAAATAAATTCGCTGTCCTAGCTAACGAAGAGGACAATGAAACCCAACTCGACACCTCTACTGATACTTCTAATAAGGTAACCACGAGTCTATACTCCATCATCAACAGGACACCATCAAGGATCCACCAATATACGTTCAAAACACCGCCAACTACTCCGCATTCAAAAATGCGTTAATACAAATCACCGGCCTAAACGGTTTTTCTTGTAAGTCCACGTCTTCCTTTCTGATTATTCAACCGCATGGACGTAGGTAATATGTATGTAACTTATTCGTTAATCATCTAATGGACACCAGTACCTTTTTTCATACTTTCATGCCTCCACCATATCGACCCTAGAAGGTCATTATCAGAAACTTGCACCACACAAACACAACACTCATCTCCGATATATCTGACGCACTCTAAAAGTCGAATTACCATATAGGACCAAGAGTGGTCCACCTCAGTGCCGAAACGCCCGAAACTGCCAGAACTACGGTCACACCGCAAACTATTGTCACCATCCTTCACGGTGTGTCAAATGTGGGGATGACCACCACACCGAAGTTTGCACCAAAACCAAACCCAGTCCAGCCAAGTGCGCCCTATGCATGGGCAATCACACTTAAAATTACAAAGGATGTCAAATTTTCAAAGCTCTTCTCAAACGACGCAAAACCACTCATACAAAACCACAGAATCCGAATCCGCCGAATCCGGTACTCACTTCTCTTCATCTTCAAACACCCCCTCTCCCTCCCATAGTCCGATACTCCGATTACCTTTCTTATCTCATAATTAAATTAAATTAAAATATTTTTAATCGCCAGTCATGTAAATGTAATTATTGTACCGTATAGGTCTTCAATTCATATTATTATATTAATATTTTAAGTCAATATCATAATGTAATGTTTAATGTCATACTAGTACAATTGTGTAATTTTTAAGCTATCATCAAGCCCAGATTAAGATAGTTTTGGGCCCAGGGCCAAACAATTTTAGGGGCCCATAGGCCATAACCATAATCAAAATGTTGGTGACCCATAAATAAAAATAATTAAGACAAAACAAAATTATATTTATAAATTTAAAATTTTTTTTTTTTAATACCTACAAAAATAAAAATTTTATGAGTATAAAAAAGTTTTTCTTGATTTTTGGACAGCAAACTCTTTAATTATATCATCGGTATTAATTACCTCCAACTCATCACTCTCCGAACACAAAACCATAAAACTATTTAAATTCTCTTGAGAAGAGCTTGTTCTATATTTGTTTTTTATAAAAGCTAATTTAGAGAATGCTCTTTCAGCCGAACAATTTGCAACAGGTATGGTTAGATATATTTTAATTGCAGTATATAAATTAGGAAAAGAGAGTAATAGATTTTTTCCATTGAAATGCTTCCAAATATCTAGCAGATAATCTTGTGTGTCATCATATGAAGGTTTACTGATAGACCAATATTTTTTGAATTGTATAATTTCATTTAGTATAGCATTGTCTACATCTTTTTTATACAATAAAATACAATTTTCAAGACTCTTATTAACTTCTTTTTCTTCATCATCAGTATCTTGTGGTAAAACAACATGTAATTTTGTAATGAATAAAAAATTGTTTTTTAGAAAATTATAAGCTTCAATTCGCTTTTCTAATTGTGAACAAAAACTATCTATAATAACATTATAAGTCTCTACTCTAAACTTGTCATAACCACATAAAGATACCTGGTTTATGGTTACAACCAGACTCATTTGGAAATTTCTTTTTTTTTATTCTCTCTTGTTCATCTGAGTATTTCTCTTTTATTTTAGGACTAAGTTGATTTATTTTATTTTCATTTAAGGCTAATAAAAAAAAAATAAAAAAAATACTAGTTATATAATTTATAATGAAAATAGGTATTATAATAAATTTTTTTTCAAATGTCTTTTATATTTATTTTTTGCATCTATTTCATTTTATATATATTCGTATTTTATATTGAATATGTCTCAATTACTATAGAAATATAGAATTTTTAAAAATAAATAAATTGGCTTTTTATCTGGAGTTTTATTTCCAAAAGTCCACCAAGCAGCCTTAATATTGCAAAAATCAAAATTTGAATTAAAGAATTATCAAAAGAAAAATGGGGGTAATCACGCTGTATATATTATCCCGATAGCCGTGTTGAATAAAAACAATAATACAACTATATATAGGTACCTATATAATTGCCAATTGCAGGAAATGCGGGTAATGATAAGGTACCTAGGTACCTAAAGAAATTATGAGTCATGACGAATAACATTGAAAATAATTAAATACATTTATTCCGTCATGAGGTACCTATTCTAATTTCTAATTAATAGTATAGCCCAGGGGTCTCCAAACTACGGCCCGCGAACAAGTTTTAACCGGCCCGTGGCCCGCATAGGACGCATCAGTGACGGATTCGAGGGGGGGGGGGGGGGTGGCGAAGTGGCGTTCGCCATCCCCTTGGGCTGCCTTTTTAACGTTATTTTCTATTATAATATTTGGCTTAACAAAAAGACAAAAAGACAATTTAATTTTTGAAAATTTGCCCCTCCCTTAGGTGACTTCTAGATTCGCTACTGGGACGCATAGGTAAATATAGATAAAAAAATTATTTCAAAAATGTATTTATATTATATTATATTTATTACCTATTTATTATTATTTAAGTATATTGTAACGTAAACAATATTTTATACAAAATATAAAGTAAACATATTATTAATATAGGTTCCTATATTATCATAAAATTAAAAATTATATGTGTTAATAAACTTTTGGCCCGCTAAGAGCATTTGATTTTTTTTGTGGCCCTTGAATAAAAAGGTTTGGAGACCCCTGGTATAGCCTATTATATTATATCATTAGCATGTACGTAGCCACGTAGGTACATAATATTTTTTATACCTAAGAAACAATTATTATACTTTACTTACAACAATAATATATTATATTTTACAGGAAAATCATCAGAATATGCAAACATATTATACGAAACAAAAAAAAATGTTTTAAAATGTTGTATATTGATTTCTATACCAAATTTGTGTTTTGGTTTTCTAGAAAAACAACATGCAAATCCTATAACTTCTCTGCCTTACTTATTACCGATGTGCGCATCAATCAATTCTGAAATTTTAACAACATCGTCTTTTTGTCTGATTTGATTGTAGTAAGTTTTAATTGTTTGAAATGGTTGCTGGAATATGTGCACTAATGAAACTGTTAAAACCATTATTGTATTTTATATATAAAAAAAAGTATAATATTATTATTTATGTTACTTTTAACGCGGTGAAGTTAAACGTAGTCAATAACTAATATGCATATAGTAAAATTGTTATGTGAATCATTTCAAACTGTTGTATACTAGTTAATAACCATTAATCATTATTAAATTAACGTAAATATTGAAGGACTTCCGACTATTACACATCGAATTGGACTTGGAACGTGAATAGTATTAAAAAAAATAGCTGAGGTCACTATATCATAGTACAAAATATATGAACTGGTTCTTAATTGTTTTTACTAATTTTACTGCTGTACGGAAAATTAATTTAAAAACCTTATACCTATTGTAAAGTGTAAACGTCACCTTGTGGTTTGCTCAAGATTTTAAAATGTATGAAAAATTATACAATTATAAAAAAATATAAAGTAATACAAATAACACAAACAAGTTTTGAATCTATATCATACTCCATAAATCGTGTAACTTAACGATACTGAATTGATATAATTCCTTTGATATAAAAATATCAACGGGTATATAAAATATAATTCTAAATGTAGAAAATATCTTTTTATATTTTTTTAATTTAAATGGTATAAAAACAATAATTCATGTACAGTTACTTGAAAATTCATTTTATTCATTAGGTTACATTTTTATAATGCAATTTAAACACATTTGTATCGACTATCGAACTTAATTAATAATTTCCTACAAATATGGATTGCACATTGTTTCAATCCCAAGACCTAGCGGTTTCCCAACTTTAAAGTGGTAATCGGAAAAAAAAATCCCCCGGAAAAAAATCCCCCGACGAACAACCCCGGAAAAAAATCCCCGACCCTAGGAAAAAAATCCCCAGCTACAATATTACTGACAATCACATGGTTGAACAAATATATTTTGAACGTTAATTAGTATCTATAATTAATATTTAATGACAAATACGTATATTATATTCTATTATAATATAATATATTATATTAAATTGTTAAAAAAATTATAAAAATATTTATAATGATCGATACGTCAATTAATAATACAGTTAAAAAACATAGTATACAAAAATATTATACCAAATATAGGTACCTATATATTTTATGTAGGTATAATTCTGTAAAAATTGAATTCCCGAAATAAAATATTGCGTTTTCTGTGACATCTTGACGATAAGCGGTTTAGTATGTACCTTTGATAATATATAATATAAGGTAAAGTTAGTTATTTAATTTGAATTACACATAATATATTATCGTAATTTAAAAAAAATATTATTTATAATATATAATTTTTTTAACAATATAATAAAATATAATATATTATATTATAATAGAATATAATAATATACGTATTTGTAATTAAATATTAATTATAGATACTAATTAACGTTTAAAAAATATTTGTTCAACCATTTGCATGAGGTTGTGAGTAATATTGTAGTCTGAGGATTTTTTTTCCTAAGGTCGGGGATTTTTTTTCCGGGGATTTTTTTTCCGGGGGATTTTTATTCCGGGATTCCTTTAAAGTGTGTGCCGCAGTGTCTTCACAGGTGCGCTACGCTGCCGTAGAATTTTATATGATCCAAAAATAAATTTGAAATCCCAACGATGGCGGTGACGGAAACGATTACCATTATGTAAATAAAAATGTTTAAATTATTTATAATTTTAATATTTTCAATTTTCATAATACCTATTACAATTTTTACTGGTTTTTATTCAATTTTTCTGTTTTTTATGATTAGTTTTGATATGACTTTGGGAAGGGTGCCCTGAGAAAACCTTGAATGTAATAGGGCGCCACGAACCTAACAATTTTGGGAACCCCTTCCCTAGATTATATTTTTATTTATTTAATAAGTGACAACTAAGGGTCAAATACCAAAGATGATTACCTATACGGCTATACATAAGGACTTAAAGTTAATATCTTCATTTAGCTGTGTAAGTAAATTTGCTGATTCACCAAGCATGCTGACCTCCATTTTTCTGCAATAAGGCAGTTATTCAAAACTTGGTTCTCTGGATTTTTTTAATATTTTACAAGGTGATGACACAAATAAAAGAAAAAAAAGAAACACACATCATTGTTAGATCAATACATTCATCACTCTGCTCAGAATCTAAAAGAACCAGGGATTTTGCGTATTATACAGTTGTGAGCATAAATTATTGTTGTCAGTAAGTTGTTGGATAGAGAGTAGCAACTGTACATAATTTTAAAAAGCGCGCCAATTATTTTGAAAAACATTAATGGAAATTTGCCACTTGTAGCGCTCATTTTTCCAAAGATACATTTACATGACAAAATATATAATCGTATTTTGTTCCAATAGGCGATAGCAATAAAACATGATAACGGATGGAGGACGACGGTTTTTTTAAATGGTTTTTTTTTGTCATGGTCCATACTCTATTGTTCTAGACTCTAGTACTCTACCTTCTACAGTCTTTACTCTTTTAAGTATAACAAGTATACAGACTAAAAAGTACAGACTTTTATATATTAATTATTAAAACTAGTCAAATTTGGCAAAATTAAAAAAATTAAAAAAGTTTCCCAACATTCTTTAATTTTATTTTTTGCTGTGTTTGGATACTAATTTATTCGTGAATTCTATGAGCATAAATCAAATTGTTAATCATTTAATTTAATAATTTACAGTACCTTTGTATTTAAAAGTAAGTGTTTAGGTGTTATCCTATATTATGTTTTTTTTTTTTTTAAATAGAAATACGTTAAATAGGTAGGTATAGTAGAATCACAAATATTACCCAGGTATACTATTATTATGAATTATCAATATTAAAAAAAAATAAATCTATTATTTATCCAAATAAATTACATACTAATTTATACACTATTTCTATTAAACATTTAATTATCATTCTATATATTCAATGTTTTTAAGTTTATTAGTTTGCTTTTTGTACTTCATTATTTTTAGTTTTAGTACTTCCCAATTTCATTCGTGTCTACTCTTTAATTTCTATAGAAGTTTCAATGGTTGTTCCTTTATTCTTATCTACTTTCTATATTATTACTGTATTTTTTAAAACTTGTAAATAGTTTATTATAGTTATTTGTTATTTAGTCGTCGTTTGATGGTGCCAGTTGTATTAAAAGTTATTGGTCATCATTATCACATGAGGATTCCTGACTACAGATCGTTGATCTGTTTTAATATACATCAATGACTCAGTTTAAATAAAAATAAATCACAACACTAAGCTAATTCAACATTGTTTATCTCCTCAAAAAACAATACACTTAGATTGAAAATAAATATAATAAAACAAAGTAATTGATATTTTCTTATATTTTATAGAAAATGGAACATAATTTAGTAGACACTGTTAATTAATTGAATATTTTTTTCAGGATCAACATAATATTATGGAATCAAAGTCATGTAGACAGAAAAATGCTATGATTTCTTTATCAAAACCAAAATATAAAACGTCTTTACCAGAAAAACAGAATACCTGGGGTAACCTACTAAATAAGAAATCAGTCGGTACTAATACAGCAATAACTTCCAAAATTAAACCTAAAAAATATTCCTCTATTCCTGAGATGAATACTAAAAGTATGAACATTCATATTTTTTTTATAAAAATTGTATTTAATTAGTTTTTATTTTAAGCAATGACCAAGAGTGTACAATGTAGTGATTCACCTACTGATAAAGAATGCAAAAGATCTAATTCACTTTCTGTATTCAATCCGATCAGAACATTACAATTTCTACTAAAGGAAATTGTTGAGTACCCAGGTGTTAAAAGTTAGAAAACAATTTTTTTTAATTTTCAATACATTTTTATTTTTATGAATTGTTATATTTTTTGATTTAATGGTATTAGATGGAGACATTGCAAAAATTGTTGATGAAATGCAAGTGGTTGTAGGAAGAATTGTTGATGAATGTGCTGAAAATTCGCCTAGCCCTAAAATAAATACTATCCCAGTTATGAATTACAATTCTATGGTTCCAACAAGAGATAATGATTATTGTAAAGATTTAAAATATGATAACAGTTCTCAAGAAAATGTAAGTAAAAATGTATTTATTATTTTTATTATCAAATCATTAATATTTTATTTTTTACAATAATTTATATTTCAGAAATATTTGTCCGTACTGCTAGGGAAAATATCAGAACTTGAAAATCATTATAGTCAGTTGACAAAAGATAACACTAAATGTAAAGAAAAACTGCAGTGTGTGACATCTGAAAGGGATAGTTTACTTGAGTAAATAAATTAAAAAATTGTTTTGAATGTTTCTGTTTTATTAATTTTAATATTTAAATAGGAAATATAAAGAATCATGCAATTCATTGGAAAAGTTGAATAATCTCGAGCGTGAATATTTAGATACAATCACAGAACTTAAATCTAAACTTATAGCTTCAGATAAATTGATTAGAAACCAGGAAATTATCATTACAAGTTTAAATAAAAGATTGAATCATTTACCAAATAAAAACAAAGTTTGTGTAAATTATTTTATTTTTTTTTTTATAAGATGAATTTTTACACTTAATATTATTATATAGGTTAAGGACAAAGTGAATGGAAATATTCGAACTGAACATAATAATACTTACCAAACAATACTAAAAGAAAATAATGAATTCAACAAAGTTACAAAATCAGATCTGGAGAAATTAGCTATTACCAGTAGTCTCAAAGATAATGAAGTCTCCAAGCTTAGATCAGATATAAAGTAATGCTTTTTGGTTGATTATTTTTACATTTATTAAATAATATTACGCTATAATGGGTACACATTTAAATATTTTAAATTAGAAAAGTGATTGTTAAAAACTACTTTATTCCCTTAGTAAATATTAGGACAACCATAGTCCAAACTCCATACCACACTAAATAAGTTGTTCATTTCCTAATTTTTAAATAAATAATAGACAGTGTGTAATAACATTTCTTGATTTTTCTATTGTTTTCTCATGTTTTGATTTCGCTTGTGATGTATGATAGTGCCACTTGCTATTTGGTTATTCTTATTACGTTTTATGGAAAACTTTTTGTCTATTAAATATTTTTTTTTTTTTTTTCATTGAACTTAAGCCTGGTAACTATGGCCATTAGCTGTTTTTGTTGTTTTTATTTTGGGAGGGGATAAATGGAACGGTTGGTTGAAACACGTTTTTAGGCTTGGCAGAATTTCAAGTTGGGCACCCATAGGTTTCTGTCATGCCCGGGTGGGGGATGGCGGCATCTCTCTCCAGAGACCATGACTTGCCCGAAGAAAAATGTCGCCTGTGGCCGGATTCAAACCGACGCATAAGTCAGCTTGGCCACTCCGTTCCCCTAAATACTTTTATTTATCCAAACATTGCTTATGTTCACTTTTTTTTTTCTGTTTGAATCGAGGACCGGAAGAGGATTAGCATTACTTCTCCTCGTTAGCATTACTTCTCCTCGCTTAAGTTCACTTACAATAAAATGTTCTCCTATCCTACTTTTTATATAACTATGCTTTTATTCTTTTACTTTCCTACTTACCCTATATATGATTCTTAATATATTTATTCTTCAGTTACGTTACTCTTTTATTTACTTATACCTACTCTTATTCTTAATACTTAGATTCACAAAAATTAAAAAAAATTTTTAATTTATTTTTATTTTTATTATATAATTAGAGAATATTATTCCTTTACACTTATTTTTAATGCTTAAAATATCGTAAATCTCAACAAAAAAATTCAATAATTTTAATTTTATTATGTAAATTCTCTAATAGCATTACTCTTATTCCTAATACTTATAATTTATACTTAAGATATCACAAATCTTAAATAAAAAAAACCTCTATTCTTAAACTGACCACATTTTTACTTTATTTTTTTGATACACTTCAATTAACATAAATTAACTAGTAACAAAATAAAAATGTAAACCAATCGCAAATAATTGTAACTTTAACTACTTACTATAGACCTTCATGGGCCGTAAATTTTCGCCCCGGTCCAAAAATAATCGTGAAAAAATAAAGCCCTGGCCCGGTCTGAAAATAATGCTAAGCTCGTAAAGAGCCCATTCCGGTCCATCAATTTTATCCTCAAGCCCGGCCTGGCCTGGTCCAAAAAATATTTGAAAAAAAAAATATAATATTATTATGGTATATAAATAGCTTTATTGTACCCACCAATCAATATATTATTATATTTATTGGGCCCGGTCCAATGTCACTAAGGGCCGGGCTTTCTAAGAACTGGGTCGGGCCGATCAGGCCCTTGCAGGTCTTTACTACTTAAGAGCTTTGGCGCCTCCACCAATATGTAACATGGTCGGGGATGACCAGTTAAATATAGGATATTCAGAGAACCAGAAGAAGTTAGTTTCTTTTGAATATATTTTTAATATTACAAATAAATTACGATTGATCCAAATAATTGTCAATATTCAATTAATAAAATATTATTATTACTAAGTACTTAAGATTAAAGATTACCAAAATGTCGCACTGTCTCAGAGTTTAGGTGCTTGTGATGGTAATCTCGGAGAACTTCTATTACATATGGGTATTCAGGTAGCCTTACAATAATAAATGCGGCACCAAAAAAGGAGGGGCTTAATATATAGTCAGCATATTATTGTAAATAATAGGTATATATTATAATATATTAATATGTGCCTATTGTACACGTTACGTTTATCAAATAGAAGTATTAAAAAGATGTAACAATAGCATATATTATTTTATTTCTGTAACTTGAGAATGCTATTTGGCATTTTTATCTCCCTAATGAAGAATGCTTCAGTAATTTTGTGACAAAATCATTTTAACCATTATAGGTGTAAAATATATTTTTAAAAAAAATGCAAACAAGCATTGAAAAATTTAAATAATTTTTTTTTTAAATTTTATTTGAGCCCGGCAACTAGAGTCATTAGCTATTGTAGGATTATGGTTGGTAGGGTTGTTATCTTTAAAATGGTAAGTAAGCAACACGTGTGTGTATGGCAAGGTTTTTCCCACTAAAAACCCGGGTGGTCACCCATCCGGGAACTAGGGGCAGCGGATGTAACTTACTCTCAGTCACATTGCTTGACTGACTGCAGCAGCCAACACACAAAATAAAACAAAATAAGATGAATTGTGTTTCTATTGTTTCTATTTATAAAAAATCTCTAGTAATTGATTTATTTGAGCTACTTTAGCTTCAGGTGATTTCTAAAATAATATTAATATACAATGATTTGTATTATATTTAACATTTATTAATTATTAAACAAGAAATTTGAATTTGTAAATATTTATATTTTATATTTTTTCCAGACAAATGAAGCAAATTGTATTAACTGGATTAGAAAATAAAGATAAAGATATTAAATCTGTGTCAATGACATCATTGAAATCAGAAGGCGACCTAATAAAAGATTTTCCCAAGTGTAGTGATAAAAGTTACGAAGAACATGATATTGATATAAAATGTATTGCGTATAACAGAGAAGCATCAGCCATAAAATTAGCTAAGTTAGAACTTCAACAGCTATTTGAAACAATTAAAAAACAAACTCATAATTCAAAAAAGCTTTTCAATTCCACGTTTGTTGATAACGAAAGGGTTTTAAGTGATATTTCTGATGAAGAGGAAAACTCAAATGTATCAAACTTTATGAGTGTAGTAACTCATTCGAGTTGTTAATTATTGTATGCACTTGGAAAAGATTTTTAATTGTATTATTAAATTATTTTAGAATGTAAATATACATGAAAAATAAATGTAATTTAATTATGTATATATTTAATTGTTATTATTATATCTTAAAAAAATTAAGCAATATTAACATTTTTTAGTGATTTGCTCAGAATTTTTCCAGCATTTGTCATCAAGTTGTTGGATTGCCATTGAGCCTCACATAAATTTGAAACTTTTAAGTCAACCTAAAAAAAAAAAAAAAATGTTCAGAAATTTAAGATATAAAAAAAGAATTAATTTATGAACAATATTTTACCTGTAGTTGTTCCCAAATTTTCTTTTTGGGATTCAAAATTTTGTCTGGTTCACCTTGTTCATAACTTTCAATAAAAACTTTATCGCCTGGTTTACTTCCTTCAGCTGGTTCTAAAGGCTCTACAGACTTAACTCCGTTGTTTTCACTATTAAACAATAAAAATCGTACAAAAATTATTTCAAGAAGATGTCACCCCACATGTGTTGTTGCGGTCTTACAAGTGTATAACATACCAAATTTACGCTCAGCAGATCACGTTTAGCTCCGTTAGTTTAAAAATTAGAGTGATTCAATCTATTATGAAACTTGATGGTAAGAACATATTAAGTGAGTTATGAGAATTTTTAATTTGCGTCATTATATACATATATCATTACGCATAACTTGCTAAAAAACTGAATAATTGTAAAAAACAGACATACAAAAATGGATAATGTTCTCACCATCAAGTTTCATAATAGATTGAATCACTCTAATTTTTAAACTGACGGAGCTAACATGATCTGCTGAGCATAAATTTGGTATGTTATGCACTTATAAGATGGAGACTACACATGTGGGTATGGCGTCCAGTTAATAAAATAAATATTTAATCATACATTGATGCACAAAGAACCATTCCACTCGATTCAATACCTCTCATTTTGGCAGGTTTTAAATTACATAATACAACCACTAATCTATCTTGCATTTCATTAATTGGTACATAATTTACAAGACCGCTAACTATTGTTCTAGGCTGCTCTTCACCTGTAAAATAAAAATCATTTAACATCAGGTAATAAATTAGTTCTATTCAATTAAAAACTACTAACAATTATTTATGACAATATGAGTACATGACTGTAAATTAATTTATATTGTCTAGTTCTCAATGTACAGTAAAAACTATTCAAGACAAACTCCAAGGGACTAGTTGAAAGAATTTATTATGAGGTAAATTATATTAGGCGAGACATTTTCATCAACAGCTTATTCAAAAGGAGTTTACTGTATTTTATATAAATACTAGCTGTCACCCGCGTGCTCCGCCCCCATGGATAGTTGTTTGCAAATTGTAGGGCTGTTTCGTGGCTGCAAAAATCATGTCTATTTATCTTGCAACGTTTTTTTTTATATAACCAGTAATTGAACTGTATGCAGAGTAATGTAAAACAGTTAGAAACTTATCTTAACTTTTCCGTTACCCGTAAAAAAAATGTTGATTGTTCGACTCCTTTTGGGTATAATATATGATTTGGAAGCAATATTTTTTTAAGTGTAAATTATATTATATTTTAATGTATAGCCATCTCGACCGGAGATATCCCGTGAGATTTGCAGCCGTATATTATCAGGTAGGCGGACACCGTACTGTTTGTACTGGTGAAAGACATAGGTAAGCGCCAAAATGAGATAAGAAAAATAAGTTGTATAGTACAAAATCGCAAAAATCCTAGATACCTGTGTGCCACGCTTAAAAGATATTAGGTACATTTAGAACTATATATTATATTTTAACAATTTATTATTGACAATCCATACTATAAAAACAAGTCCAGATTTTATGTCATTTATTTTTATTTTAATATAAAATTCTTCAAAATTAACAACTAAAACTACAACAATCATAACCAATAGCAACCTTACAATAAACAAAAATATATAATTATTTAGTTTATTTTTTTCCTGTGCAGATGGCGCCACTGTTGTATTTTTGACATCCAGATTTCCTAATTTTCCGGTAGATTTTCCAAAAATGTTCTTTCATAATACCTAACCATGTCCTGATTATTACGAACATAACAAAAAAAGAATCAGCGAAATCGGTCAAGCCATTTCGGAGCCAACCCATGACACAAAATCTAGACTAGCTCTTATAGTATAGATTAAAATATATAAGTTGCTAACTAACAGATATATATAATGATGATACTCTTGTACAATATTAGCTCTAAATAAACACGAAAGATACATACCAAGATCAATCTTTTCAACATACAATGCGTCCGCTTCTGGATGTTTAGATACTTCGACTATTTTACCAACACGAATATCCAAACGACTAGGGGAAATCTCTTCTTGTTGATTGGTGTTATTTTTCTCTATTGCATCACAATTAAAAAAATATATTAGAGTTAATATAATTAACTAAAAACAAATACCAAAAAAATTGATAAATACAACGCTAATTCTATTTTAAAAATGAATTTAACCAATTTACATTAGGTACTCAAATCGAATAAAAAAAACCGGAAAAATTGCTCAGCTGGCTGAATAATAGGTTTTATGTGTGCCACATCATAGGTTCACGATAATGTATGAGTTAAATTTAAACTTCATGACAAATAATAGAATACAAAAAACAATTCTGAATGAAGACAGTATGTCAGTCTATATATTTTTAAGGATATTTTCGAATTTATTTGTGAATTACAATTATGTAGTAACTTACACCGTTGTACAACCAATACATTCATCTCTACAATCAAAACCAAAAACCCTTAAACCTACCTTACAATCCAAAATTACATATTTTATTAAAATAAATATACATATAACAAATTAATAGTAAGATCCAATATCAAAAAATTAATATAGTTATCTACACATATTAGTAGGTCTAAATTAATATTTGTACTCAAGTAGTTTGAATATTTATTTTATAAATTATGATTTATGAAATAAAATATTCAACAAATTTGATTTAAATTATATAAGACTTGATACTATATTTTAAACATACCAGTTTTTTTGGGTTTGACTGGAGCTGGGTATGCATTAGCAACTAATTTCTGTAATTCAGGTTTATCAAATATTTGTCTAATTGGATCTAACAGTCTATTGATATAAAATTCAATAGATGCTTTTAAATCAGCTGGATGCAGTTTTTGTTCAGAAAAACAAATTTCAAGATCTTCATAGGCGCTAAAATTCAAATCTCCTCCATTGGCTTCGTTTCTAGATATTTTAAATTCTTGAAGTAAAAGTAATTACATTTCTGTCTTTATGTATTAATAAAAAAATATACTAAAAATCATACTTTCATTAGGTTCAAATAAACCAAAAATGACATGTTTAGCAAATGCAAGTAAACCATTTTCCGCAATATTTCCGGGTTCACAGAATGCTTTTTTCAATTTTTTCTTAACTGTAGCTGGTGAATCTAATAAATCGATTTTACTATCCACTTCAGAAGAAGACATTTTACCTCCAGCTAACCCAGGAACTAAGCATAAAATAATATATAAGAAATTAAGTAAAGCTATACCTTGACACCAAAATTATGATTATACATAGATTAACAAAACTAACCCATTGGATTCATTAAATGTATTCTTTTTTCATAACCCAACTGAGGAAGATATTTTTCAGACATTGTAAATATCTTACGCTGGTCTACTCCACCAAACTGAGCATCGACTTTGAGATACTCTTCATCTAATGCTTGTAATCCTTAAAAGAATAATTATTTAAAAAACAAAAATAATAATTTCATGGGCATTTTGTTACATCTAATATTATTACCAATATTGAAGAAAAAATAATAAAAATACAAAATAATATTCTACCAACATGACAATATACCATATTATGTTCTTTAATTAATATTGGAGATGATTATTAGTTCAGATTAATTCATTGAACTATTTAATAATTCATTATCTTGATTTAATAGATAATTTAGATAAAAAAAATTTCTTTTAATTGAATATTGTGATAACATCATAGACTTTATTATTACTAAATAATATTGCGTTTTAACTTTTAACTTATAATTTTGAATGTATAACAATTAGTGATGAACCGATACCGATGTATAATAAACTCATTTCTTTTTATCTATCTGTAACCTTTAGCAAAATATATCTATAACAAACCAGGATATAGCAACCCAGATAGTAGTGGATTATCAACTTGTTTTACAACTTCAGCCCCAGCTTTCTTAGCATCATGTACAGAAATTGAAGAACTCAATCGGTACATATCCATTGTATATTCTCTAAAAAAAAAAAACAAGTTCTCAATAAAATATTACTGGCCATATTAATAGTTGATGATAAGAATAAGTATTGCTTAAAGTCAGTGCCACATTTAGAAATTATGCACCCCGGTACAAAAAAAAATTGGCGCCCCCTTAAGGAAATATGGTCCTCATGAACTTTTTAAATTATGAGTAAAGAGAAGAATCTTTGTTTTACAATAATGTGTGCTTTTTTTAAAAAATATTGTTTAATAATTTCATGTACCCTTCTCCTCCTTCCTTGTTTTCCACAAAGATACAATTGAGTCCTACTTGTAATTCATCAAAATATAAGGTTTTTATTTGCATATTTAGGTACCTACTTCATGGATCATATTAATACAGGGTGATTCTTTTATCATGAAACATTCATTATTTCAAAAAGTATTAATGTTTTTAAAAATATTTTTTTACACAGTTTTAAGTTGTTAAAAAAACAACGTTTTTATTAAAAAATTATATTTTTAAATATTTTTTATCTTTATAACATTTTAAGTTTTTACTTTTTTGGATGACAGCATAGAGTTTTAATTTTATAATCCAAAGCAGAATATTTTTCTAAGTATTTTGATTCATAAAAATCGAATTTAGGGAGAGTAGTTTATGAGTTATAAGTATTTAAAGTTTAGATGGGCGGAGTGGAGTGATACGGGGTTACCCCACAAAATGTTTACCCCGTAACTATAA